CTAGGCCAGCCTGGTAACACAGCAAGGCCTCATCCAGCCTGCCATCCCAGCCTATTATCCCAGGCTGAGGCAGAAGGATCCCAAATTCGAAGCCCACCTGGGCAACTTAGTGAGATCCTCTCTCAAATAAAAAAAGGTTTGGAGCTGTAACTCAGTGGTACATCGCTCCGGCTTCAACACTCAGTATCACAAAACAAACCCTCAGCCCAGCATGGTGGATCGTGCCTCTAATCCCAGCAATTTAGGAAGCTGAGAGAGGAGGATCACAAGTTCGAGGCCAGCCTCAGCAACCTTGTTGGCTCTGAGCAGCTTGGCCCTGACCCATTCATTGAGGCCCTGTCTCAAAATACAAAAAATAAAAAGGGCTGGGGAGGTAGCTCAGTGGTAAAGTGCCTCTGGGTTCAATCCCTATACCAAAACAAGAAACAAAAACCCTCATCTGAGAAAAAAAAAAAAAAAAAAAAATCAGAGGCATTGAACTTGTCAAGAGACAAGCCAAAGTGGGGTGAGGTGGGTTCAGCAGAAGAATGCAACCAGGAAGGAGGTATTCCAGAGGCACAGTAATAATGATTAATGTAGGAAATATTTATGGGATATGTAGTATTACGAGGCACTACGCATATGTATTATCTCTTTGAAGACATAAGATAGGTCTACAAGGTAGACACTATTATTAGCCCTATTTTACAGATGCAGAAACTGAAGCCCAGGGATGTTAATTTCTTCATGTGAGGCTGAGTTTCCTTGGCATTACAGACATTTCAGGACCAACAGTTCTTTGTTGGGGGAGAGTTTGTGTATAATACTAGATATTTTGTAGCCTTCCTGACTTCTACCCTCTAAATGCCATTAGCACCTCTGTCCCCAGTTACGACCATCAAAAACATCTTCAGATATTGCCAGATGTCCCCAGGGAATGTCAAAGTCACCCCTAGCTGAGAGAACCACTTATCTAAGGTCATACGATTATTGACAGAACTAGAATTTCAATACAGTTAGCCGGACCCCAAGGGCCCAGAGGTCACCATCAGGCTATGATACTGGACAGGTGGGTGTCAGAGTGAGGAGTCATCACATAGGATCCTAGTCATTGGGGAGGCAGATCTGTTTCCCTGTGGGGTGGGAAGGGGTGATTCTTTGCAGGAGGGTCTAAGGAGGTTGGGGTGATTTGGAGATACAAAGTCATGGCTAGGGAATCCCTTGACAAGTAAGTTATCTTTCTTTTTACTTATTTTTGGTACTGAGGATTGAACCTAGGGATTTTTTATTTATTTTTTTAAAGAGAGAGTGAGAGAGAGGGGGACAGAGAGAGAATTTTAAACATTTATTTATTTTTTCTTAGTTCTCTTGGCGGACACAACATCTTTGTTGGTATGTGGTGCTGAGGATCGAACCCCGGGCCGCACGCATGCCAGGCGAGCGCGCTACCGCTTGAGCCACATCCCCAGCCCCCTAGGGATTTTTTTAAATTTAGAATTCTTTAAAAAATTGTTTAAAATTTATATATGACAGCAGAATGCATTACAATTCATATTATACATATAGAGCACAATTTTTTCATATCTCTGGTTGTATACAAAGTACATTCACACTAAATCACATCTTCATACATGTACTTTGAATCTAGGGGTATTTTACTACTGAGCTGCTTCCCACATCCCCAGTCCTTTTTTTTTTTTGAGACAGGGTCTCGCTAAGTTGCTTAGTTATGATCTCACTAAGTCACTGAGGTGGGCCTCAAACTTGTGATCTTCCTGCTTCAGCCTCCTGAGTCACTGGGGTTACAGGTGTGGCCACCAGGCCTGGCACAAGTGAGTTCTTGATGGACGGAGGTGCTTGACCTAGTCCTCTTTTGATCACAGGGTCTGGTATTAAACAATGTTGAAGTGCTGAGTCATTTGTGCACAGGTAATAGTTATAACTTTGATAGTGGAAGGCCTCACCCATTCTTTTAAGTGGCTGTCCATGTGCCAGGCAGTGAGGAGGTAGGCCCCATTTAATCTTCACATCCACCTAATAGGTAGGTATTATTATCTGTTCTTTATGTGCCAGGAACCCAAAACTTTGAGAGGCTGAGTAATTAGACTGAAGTCACATAGCCTTCTTCCCACTCATACGCAGCAAAGAGGAAAGATACAGGCTCTTGCTGATTGGGCGGTTGGGGGTTCTTGGAGGCCATTAGAAGGAGAAAGTGATTGAAAACTGTTTGTAAAGCCAGAGAACCCCCTCATTCAAATGAAATTTCACCAAAACCAAAAACAATAGCCTAAATGACAGGGGCGGAGTTTCTATCTGGAAGGCTGAGGGCCTCTCTCTCCCAGCAGGCCCCCAGGGATCTGAGAAATTAGTCCTTCTCTTTTTAGCATCCTTCTAAGGCCCGAGGAGGGCAATTCGTTCAAGGTCTCACAGCCAGGCAGGGCCAGATCCTCCAAGTAGGGCTCTGACCTGGTGCCCCGCTACTAAAGGGGACAGGGCAGCAGGGTGGACAATTTTTTTTTTTTTTTTTTTTGTTACTGGGGCTTGAACCCTGGGTCCTTAACCACTGGACCACATTCTATTCCCAGTCCTTTTTTATATTTTATTTTTAAATTTCTTTTTTGTTGTAGTGAAACCAGATTTAAAGATAGATAGTTAGAGTAGTTATGCAAATGGACCATGTTGAGAATAGAGTACCCGAAGGCAGAGCAGCACCTGGGGAAATTGAAATGTTAATGTCCCCAAAGCCCAGAGCCCATTCTAAAGAAATATAAAGCGAGCAGCTCCCAGCCAACAGGGAGGGCTAATCAAAGGTCGCCCCAGGCCCTTTCTGCTTAGATTACTCCTCAGGCCCATCTGCCCCTCACCTTTTGGATCTCCCCACCTGCATTCTATCACTGCAAGATGACAACCAAGGACCGGAGGGAGCGCTGACAGGAATGCGGGAAAGCTGAAAGAAGACCTTAGCCAAAAATGGGGAAGACATTGCCCTTCCACAGATTCCACCTCTTGGGTCCCCTTCTTCCTCCTGGGAGAAGTCTTTTCTGCTGTCCTGTAATAAAGCTTCTACTTTCCACTCTACACTGACCTCGGTGTTATACTTCAGCATTGGGAAAGCAAGGACTCATCACCGGTAAACAATGGGGTAACAGTAGGTGGACACAATACTTTGTTTTACTTATTTATTTATGTGGTGCTGAGGATGGAACCCAGTGCCTCCCTCACGCATGGAAGGCAAGCGCTCAACCACTAAGCTACAACCCCAGCCCCTTGTTTTTTACTTTGAGACAGGATCTGGCTGAGTTGCTTAAGGCCTTGTTAGCTGGACAGATTTTAAGGAGCCAATCCACCCCAAGGCATGGGCATTGCTGCTCCTGTGATGTGGGAGGCGTCTGATGAGCTCACTGCTCCAGCCAGGCCGGAAGGGCCAGCTGGATGAAGAGCAGAGAACCAATCCCTCACACCTCTCACCTGTGCAGGAGTCTCCCAGATGACAACTCTTTCACAAAGATTGCTACCTTTGCCTTTTCAAATCTCTTTAAGGAGCACTAGCAAATACCATTATCCCCTTATTACAGATAAAGAGACCGAGACCTTGGACAAGTTAACTGATTTGCTCAAGGCCACATACCTGACAGGTGACAGAAGTAGGCCCCAGACCCCAGGTTTCTCTCTCTAGCCTAAACCGCAAGGAACCCAGTCTAATAGTAAGTCCCAGGGCCTGTCCAGGAACTCTGTTCCCAGCTTCCAAATCACCTTCCCCACACTACTGGGCGGAGATGGCCACCCTACCCGCGCGCCTCCAGCTCCCTAAACTGGCACAACCCTCACAATACACAAAACTGCCACAATGCACATCAGACTAGAGCAAACAGAGATCCGACCGCGGGCTGCCCGCCATCCAGCAGTGCCATCTTTTCCCGCATCCCGGCTTCGGCCCCTCACCACCTGCCCCGATTCGGGGTGGAAGTGGGCGGGGCGACCGCGGCGTGGGCGGGGCCAGGTGGCCAATCCCTGCAGCTGGCTGTCTGGCTCCGCTCTGGCTCGGCTCCCAGCGGGTTCCACACCCCGGAGGCGGTGCTGAAGGCCGATGCTGACGCAGGCGGCTGCGTGTGGGCGGCCGCATGTGAGTCTGTGTGTATCTGTGTGTGTGGTTGCTGGGGCCTCCCCGGCCTCCTAAATGGGGGTTTCCTCTCCCTGTTGCCAAGGAAACAAACAGAAGCTCCACAACTCTAGGACTGGAGCTGGAGAAAAGGGTCCCCCTCCCCGCCGCCGTCCCCACGTTTGCAGTAAGGGAGACAGAAAAGGAATCCTTTTCTCGCTCTTTCCTGTCCAGGTGTGGACCAGATGTTTTGAGGGCATGAAAGTAGGATGGACATTTGTTTGGTCTGCTCAGGATAGGGACTTCCTAGGACATGGGACGTTTAATGCTAAAATCGGGATAACTGCTCATCCTACCTAAAGCACATAGTTTTGAGGGGAGGCCCTCGAAGAATACAACCAAGGACCGGGCCTGGTGGTGGTGGTGCACACCTGTAATCCCAGAAAATCGAGAGGCTGAGGCAGGGGAATCTCAAGTGTGAGGCCAGCCTAGGCAACTCAGCGACTCTGTCTCAAAATACGGACTGGCCAGGTAGCTCAGCGGTAGAGTGCCCACCTAACTTTCAAGAGGACCTGGGTTCGATCCCCATGAACCAGGGAAGGATCTTCTGCGGATTTCAACAGACATATGGCTCTAGAGAGTAGCCATATGGTCTTTGTGGCTCAGCAGCCCTGAAGCTTCACCTTCCTTAGCTCAGTGGCAAATCTACCCCTGTCTCCAGCTCCAGTAGCCCACAAGTTCCTGAGTCCGGGTAGAAACCTCTCTACCAGCAACTGGGAATGCAAAGTTTCAGCAAGGAGGGATTGGAGGTTTCCTGATGGGTGGGATGGGATGGAGCAAGGGGCACTTTGTGGAGAAGCTGGGAAGAGGGGCTGCCAAAAGCAAGGGGGATGAGCAGGTTCTCTGCGCCATCAGGAGCCCCCCATGGGATGGGGAAGGGCCTGCTGAGTTTGGGCCAGCATTTCAACAGTCACTGCCTTGAAGACAGAACCTTAGCTGGGAGGAGTCAGAGCATTGCACAGCCCAATCCCCTCGGGTCTAGACCAGAATTAGTCTAACTCCCCAGATTCCTCTTCTGCTATTCCTAAGCCAACCCACAGGCCCGCCCAAAGGGGCACCCCCTTAGCCCTTTTTGTCCATTGGGCAGTCAGAGTGTGCACCTCACTTTGGCCCTGACCCCTCAAGGGGCTCTTCATCGAAACGACAGGTAATGAGAAAGCCACTAAAAGAGGAGAGGGGTGGCAGGGACCTGGTTACAAGGGGCAGGATGCAAGGCTGAAGCTGGCAGGCTCTCCAACCCTGTCCTGTCAGTGCCCAGGAAGGGGTAAGGGGGTATCTGTTTCCCTCTGGCCTTAGTCCCCTCAATCCTACCCCAGAGAAGGTAAAAATGGTGCTGACTTCCTGATGGGGAGGTTTCTGTCCTGAGGATGGAGAATGGCTTCCAGCAAAACATTACTCCCTTCCTCCCCCCGGCTTCATGGAGTAAAGCTAAGGTTTGGAGGTGGGAGGCATATTTCCGGTTGAAGGAAAGGGGTGAGGTCCTGGAGCTCAGTGAGCACCAACAGTGTACTAGGAGCCACAGCCAGGCTGGGCTCCCAGAGGGCTGCGGTGGGGCAGAGGCAGAGGATCTGTCTGGCTTAGGGGTGGCCCTTGCTCAAGTTCCTAATGGGTCCAGAGAGGGTGGACGGTCCACAGTGAGTTGAGCACCCAGTGAGTGGGAATGAAGGGGAGGTGAGAGTGGGGAAAGGGGGGAGGCTGGGGAGGAAGCCTTCTGTGAGGGAGGGGCTGGAACCATATCTGGAGTCCAGACTGCGGGTCCCTGAAGTGGGGAGATGGGCAGAGAGAGGTGGAGGAATTGAGGAGAGGGGCAGCTACCCTGGCTGGTGTCCCTGCTCCAGTGCCAGATCCTGATGGGGCAAATATTTACCCGGTGACAACGGTTGCTAAGGAAGGAGGAGCAAGGCCGGTAGCTGGAGGCCCTTCCAGGCTCCTCCCATCCCTCACAAAAGACCTAGAGAGGGTGAGCCCTGGCACTGGCTCGGCCCTGCAACCCCGCCCTGCTAGCCCAGCCATACCCGTTCATGCACGCACATCTCGGGGTCTTCTCCCCTCCCAAGCCCAAGCTGGCAAGAGGCCAGAAGGCTGGGCTAGGGGCAATTTAGTCCCGTGCTGCCAGGCCTTCCGCCTACCCTGGGACAGCTCTAGAGACTTGGGCCTTGCAAAATGCCACCTTCCCAATCCACAGTTCAGTGGGGGATGGAAAGGGGTGGGGCCAAGAAGTCAGGATATGATGAGGGAGGGGGCAGTGAAGGACCCGGCTAAGATGTCCCAGGCATGGAGGCTGAGCAGGAGGAAGGGAAGGGGAGGGGAACAGGGCTGGTGGAGCCAGAGAGGGGTCCTGAGAGGTGCTCCCCATTCTGGCCCCTGGGCAGAGGAGGGGGAAGCACAAGGGAGGGGAGGGTGGGGTGTGCTCAAATGGAGCCAGATGTGGCCCATGTGATGTGGGTTGTCTCTGGCATGGGCACAGCAGGGGCAGGATATGCCACTGCAGCTGGAAAGGATTAGTCAGAAACTGGGGGGGCATCCCCCCAGAGGGAGCAGGATAGAAGGACAGCTAGCCCAGGACCCCTTTACCCCGCCCAAAGGAAGCAGAGGAAGGGATAATCCAAGGGCTCAGGGCCTTCGAGGAGGGGCTGGCTAGGGCCATGATCTGCCTTCCCATCCCTTTCTCAAGGGGACCACTATCTGCTCATCATCCTCAGGGTTCCCACTCATTTCTCTGGCTGATCCTGGGTTTCTATATGCAAAATGGGGATCCTGACGCCTCTTCCCAGGGCTGCAGGAGGTTGTACCTGACAGCAGATGTGCTAAGGGTGTGGCCCAGGGCCCAGAACACAAGAGGGACGGGCCATGCCATCATGCTCTTTTTCCTCTCCATGTGTCCTCTGCCTTGCCATCTCCTCGGGGTGAGGCCTCTCCTCTTAGAGCTTCTCCCTGGGCGTCCACAAGTTCCACCCTCAGCATTGGGCCCTCTGCAAATTGGAATGCAAAGACAAGAAGGACGTGGGGGCAGAGAAGAGGTTCCTAGAGCCCAGGGCTTCCTGGCACCAATGGAAGTTCTCAAGTGTTGGCGGCTTGGCCAGAATGACCACAGAGATAAAGTCCCCAGTCCTGCTGCAGTCCCCATGGGTCCACCTAGAAGCAGGGGTAGATGAAAAGAGGAGAGACTAAAGCTCTACCCCAGGAAGGTCCTCCCAGTAACCCTACAATAGCACAAGCCCAGAGGGAGAAGAGAGCCGAGGGGGAAACAGAACACAGGACTCTGTGCTGGGGAAGCAGGTCCAAGCTGGCAACCAAAGGACTGTTGTTTTCCAAACTTCCATTGGAAAGTTTGAAAAATACACATGGAAACGTGACTCACTGCCCCCTCCCCAAGGCCCCCCTTTCCTGGTTTCTGTGATTTTTCTCCCAAGAGTTAATTCGAGTCACATTTTCACAGAGAGGGAGGGCAAGGAAATGGCTGAAGGAGGCTGAAGCACTTGGGGAGGAGCTGGAAATGGAGATGTGTGCTGGGGCGGGTGGACAAGGGCGCCATGACTTTCCCACTGCAGAACCGGTGGGGGAGAATTCTGCCTTCAAACACATTGACACTCAAGGGTGGAGGTATGAGACAGTCATGTGACCACCATCCAAACGGAACCATCTTGAAGGTGCAGTGGTAAGACAAGATGAACCCTGTGGTGCTCATAGTCTCCCATCCAGAGGGGCTAAGATCAGGACTGAAAGGTGGGTGCTCTGCTTGCCTTGTCTACAGCTTGTCCATGGCACCCTGCTGTCCTGTGTGCTCCAGGCCTGGGGAGTTACTTCCTGTTCCAAGTTACAACTAAGGCCAGAGACCTCAGAAGTTGGGAGTGGGAAACTCCCCTGAACTCACTCACCTCCAGCGCCCCTCCCAACATGTGTCACCAAGGAGCAGGCACACAGGTATGTGCCTCCCTGTGAGCTGGGGAAGATCCAGGAAAGCCTGCCCCAACAGGGTGTCTCTGGGCCAGGAATTCTCAGTCTGTTCCAGAGAGGCTGGGGAGAGGGAGGGCCTGGTACTGGGCTAAGGGTGAGCAGCCTTCCACTCTCGACAATTCTTTTTTATTTAAATTTTTAAATATTTTATGTTTTAATTGTAGTTGGACACAATACCTATATTTTATTTATTTATTTTTATGTGGTGCTGAGGATTGAACCCAGGGCCTTGCACATGCTAGATGAGCGCTCTACCGCTGAGCCCCAGCCCCAGCCCTCTTGACAATTCTTAGAGGAGGACTCAGGCATTCCAAGTGGGTGTCAAGCTCTACCACTTGCCATCCCTTTTTGATGTCCCAGATGATATTTTTCCTTTTTTGGAGTGCCTCAGATTGCACATGCTAGGCAAGTGCTCCACCACTGAGCCCCAGCCCCAGCCCCAGCCCCAGATGGAATTCCTCATTCTTCCCAACACCATCCTGGCCCCATTCAGCTTCCTCAGACTTATCCACTCCGTCTCCCGCAGCCAAGGACCCCCAAGTTCTGTAGCTCTTCCTACAAAGTCTCTCTCCCTCTGAGCTCGCCTCCAGTACCCTGTTCTGAGCACCTAGCCTCACCTGGGTGCCTGCAGGCACCTCCCACCTGGCAAGGGCCCCCACCCTTGCCTGGGTCTCATCCTACCCCCCCCACCCCCAGAGATGATCTTTCCAAAAGAAAAACCATGTCATGTTTCCACAAGACTTCAAATCAAAGTGGATCTCCGTTGTATCTGGGATACACTCCAAATCCTATGACCTGGCTTGTAAAGCCTGCAGTGCCAGCCCCATCCCTTGCTCTCTAAATGCCAGTAATTCTGACTTTTGCTTTTTCTAAGCCAACCTTCCTGGACTTAGCATATACCTTGCCCTTTGGCCAACTCCTATCCATTCTCCAGGGTCATCTAAAAGTGCCTGGATCAGGTGTCCCCACTGAGCCTCCAACATCCCTTGTCCCACAGTAGTGATGCTATGTATATATATGTCTTCTCCCATGAGGGGACCTCCTTGAGGGTTAATGTTTTGTGAATCTGGTGATCTTCTCTATTTCCAGCACCGACCACAGGCCCTGGTGCATGTTAGGAACTCCGTACGCATTTGTTTTTGTTTTTTGGTACTGGCGATTGAACCCAGGGACACTTAACCACTGAGCCATATCCCTAGCCTTTTTTTAATATTTTATTTAGAGACACGGTCTTGCTAAGTTGCTGAGGCTGGCTTTGAACTCTTGATCCTTCTGTCTCAGCCTCCTAAGCCGCTGTGATTACAGACATGCACCACCGCGCCTGGCCCTATCAAAACACATTTAGCGGGCTGGGGATGTGGCTCAAGCGGTAG